TTAGTTAATAATGTTACTGATTCAATATGATATTTCGATGAGTTTTCGATGCAGTTAAGTCGATGTACATACTTATATTATAGAGATAAGCTTACGGCATATATAAATGTGTGTAAACTCCTCTGAGAGTTAAACCAAATATAGAGTGATGAAGAAATCAGATGTCTTCAAAGCAAGCCGTATAGACATCATGTAACCGATGCCTCGCAGTAATGTAAAGCCATCTTTCGTTCTCCGATTGATCCTCGTGCCCAAGAATATTCCATATAAGGTTTAAAATCGTAATTAGTAAACGAAGTACTACAAAAGAGCAATACTCGAAGCACCTTAGAACAATTTCCAATCGTAATTGGATTTTGTGTGATTTCTAGCTACCAATTTACATATTCTAATGTACTGCTGGTAAATGTTATCAACATAAATTTTAAGCGTTTAAAGGGTATTGCTTTATGTGAACCCTCTAATTGGATACAAATGTAAAGCCATTTTTTTATAATTAGTTTTACTTGTGTCTCTTCGTAAGAATACATGTGGTGGATCTGATATATTTAATACTCGTTAAGTAATCAATATCTATAATTATCATTGATGACACGCACGTATTTATCCCAATGCTCTATGTCACCAGTGTAATCTACCCTAGAGCGTTTTCCACTGGCTGCGCCATTCATGAATCGATTGTGACGTCATAACGTAGACAATGACGTAACATCATGAATTGATCATAGCGCAACAAAATGACTGCATCCGCTTGAATTTTTCTTCAACATTTTATCTTAAAAGCCTATCAAAATGCAACCTGTCTAAATTATGTGATAATGATTGTCATAAACGTGTTTTCATTCTATATGAAAGTCTATGGATTTCGTCTCTATGGTTTTAAATACTAAATACTAAAAAATAATAACTTTTGAATCTGTTTGAATAAAATCGCATATAAAAAGAAAATACATTACTGATTTCGCAAGTATGGTTCATATCTCTATCAAAAGCTTTAAAAAATCATCCATCCTCTTTTTCAAAATTCTTAATTATCATATTTTCTACCAGTCGTTATTTCACATGTTCTAAATGAAATATTACTCTATCAAGAAATATTTTAAAAGTCAGAACTTGATTATCAATTAACAAACGTTTGCCGAATGTTAATCTTTACAGAGTGATTGGTACCGACTAATTTTGATAGGCGACGTAACATAAATAATGTGGTGTCCTTAATGTTTGTACAGGTTGCAGGCCGTATTCAGAAATAATGTACCACACAATATCAGTTATTACACAAATAGTTAACAGGACCCAACAACCGTCCACATCACATATAGATTAGTACGTGTCGATCGTCTTGTGTTCCAGATAAAAGAGTTAAACACTCAGTCGAGCGCTCGAGATAACTAATACAGAAAATAAGGTTGTTTATGTTCTAAATGTAACACCGTAGAAATCGCGTTTTACCGGATTTCAAAAGTTTCCAAGGGAGACAACAAAAAATTACAACAATTCACATTTGGGGAATAATTTTTTTTTTTTTTAAATGGAACGTGTTTTTGTGACAGATTTTAACCGGATATTGTTATGTTGATGAAACCTAATGCTTGGTTTTGATGAGATTGTGTTGATTTGCTCTCTGTGGACTGACTGCAGGAAGCAAATGTTCGGTGTCAGGAGTAACGATTTCACACTAAAAGACGTGTATCGATTTTATCACCAGCATATGCACACTTGTGCATCTTAAAATTCTGTGCAGCAATCGGGTCTAACGGAAAGCAAATATGATTGGAATTAAGTCATTGTGCTCAAACATCATGACGGTACAAGTTTCTCTGTAATTCAGTGAAGATTACCATATAAAGCTAAGTGCACGTTGTTTTATTACTAAGTCAGTGCAGGTTATTTTGTCACTAAGTCAGTGCAGGTTATTTTGTCAATGCAGGTTGTTTTTGTCACTAAGTCAGTGCACGTTGTTTTGTCACTAAGTCAGTGCAGGTTATTTTGTCAATGCAGTTTGTTTTGTCACAAAATCAGTGCAGGTTGTTTTGTCTCTAAGTCAGTGCAGGTTTTTTTTTTTGTCACTAAGTCAAAGCAGGTTGTTTTGTCACAGGTTGTTTTGTCAGTTCAGGTTGTTTTGTCACTAAATCAGTGCATGCTGTTTTGTCACTAAGTCAGTTCTGGTTGTTTTGTCACAAAGTTAGTGCAGATTAGTTTTTTTTTTCTTTTGTCACAAAGCCAGTGTCGATTAAAACATTAAAACATGACGTAAAAAAATGTTGAGTATCACATTATAGCATCTCGTTAAAATGCCTTAACTGTCTGGATTTTACCAGATAATCAAATCGTTTAAACGCATTAGTGATCTTATTATAACGAGTTACTTCATTTTCTAGTAGTTACAAGCTGTTTAAGTTTCGGATCAGTTGTTCTTAAATTTTCAACCGCACGCTCTAACGAGATAAAAAAATGTTTTTGCTTTTTAAAATGACCCTAGTAGGCTTTCGAATAAATATTTCACCACTGACATCATTTTTCTGTCATATTCCCCTATAACCAGCTGCAGTTTTATAGTGTCAATCACTGCTAAGGTATCAGTTCTCCGATATAATGAATGTTTTACACAATGATTAAGGTGTCGACAGCATAATATTCCATAGGGTTTTAGTAACATTATATTATCACCGTGTTTAGTGTCAATAATGCGACGAGTGCTGATTGATAAATTGTGAGCCTTGTATTGAAGCAGTTAAGCTGAGATAAACTTTTTCAATTCTACTATTCCCTGACCATTTAAGGCTGCATACCCAAAGACTGGTGTCATTTGGCCAGTTAATTTTGAAAAGGTAGCACTCTAAATAAAACAAGTCAAAGTGCCTTTTGTAAAATGGACACAACCGCTGTAAAAAATTAGTGATTGAATATTTGCATAAGAAAGATCTAGCACATACGGATACCCACTAGGGAATATGCTACAATGAAAAGGTTGGTGGCAGACTTTAAGCGGGGCAAGCGACCTTCGGGGATGACACCTGTCCTAAGAGGCCTGTCACTATGGTAACCCACCAAAAAAGGTCAATTATGTTTATGATTTAGTTATGGCTGACAGGCGAGTAACCTATAGCCAGTAAAGATGGGATTTCACAGGAAAGAGTACATTCCATTCTTATAAAAAAAATCTGAGACTGCTCTCAGCCCGTTGGGTACCATGACATTTGACAGTTGAACAGAAACACACCAGGCGGTCTTTGATGCGTGCTAATCGGAAGCTCGCAGTGGCAGATCATGCAAATTTCGTGCAGACCCTAGTTCATCCCCGCTAAAGAAGGTAAAGACTGTTCTTTCACCTGGAAAGGTTATGGTCTCGCTTTTCTGTGATGATGATGGTATTCTGATGGTAGATTATCTGCAAAAGGGCAAATAAACAGTAGCACATATTATGCATCACTTGTAAGGTGGTTAAGAGAAAATATTAAACTCCGCGCCGCGGATAACTTAGTGAAGGTGTGTTGTTCCACAAGGACAATGCCCCTGTTCACAAGTCTGTCATTGCCATGGCTGCCATTAATGACTGGGGCTTTGAATTGATTGAACATCCGCCTTTTTTAGCCTAATCTTGCTCCATCAGACTTTCATTTACTTCCAAAATTGAAAAAAAGCTATTTCCGTTCCCCGGTCAGATGATGACGTCGTACATGCAGTGGAGGACTTTCTAAACGGTCAAGAAAAGGACATCTTTAAAAGTGGCATTGAGACCATTAAACATCGCTGGCAAACGTGTGTAGATACTGAAGGGGATTATGTCCGCCAAAAGTCAAACCCTTCAATATGAGGCTCACAAATTATCAATCCTCCCTAGTAGGACTACTATGGATCCCATGTTTGACCAAGACCAAATTACAACACCAATTATTTTTGTCGGTGATAATGGTTGGGATATATATTAATACAGGAAATAAGTCTACCAATATCAACCCTTGGGAAAATGCTTTTTTCGCCGTAAATTAGATTAAAGGATTTATCCTATTTGCTTAATGGACACTCTTTGAAGTGTAATATCTCTCCCATGGATAAAACAGGATATGGAAAGTTGATAACATTTTAAGACCAACCAAGGAACAGTTCAAATTAAGCAAAACAAAATCAGAAGTGTCTAGAGCATGGACAAATATTGTTTATGAACATCGCTAAAACATTCAAATGTTGGAACATGTGAGGTTTGTGGGATTATGAAGAAGTATGGTGATTTAGTACAAGTACAAAGTAGATTATATGCAATTTCAAATACAATTATGATGTCACATTTATGGTTAATTTCAAATTTGTTTCATGAGAACATCAATATTATGATTCCATTTCTGGCTTACCCATCAGAGCATCTGACATTACCTGCACAAAATATAAATATTTTTGTCGTTCAGATTCGGGGACTTTGTCATTGTTCACTGTGAAATTGCATATGATAAAGTTTTCACTGTGAAGACATATTTGGGGGGGGGCTGATCTTACCACAGTTATTATGGTCAATTGTCTGTTAACATAAACGAATGGATACACAATGTTTTAGACATTTGCTTGTTGTCATTTCAAATTAAGATTAAATGAGATATTTTAGGAAATTTTATATATACTTAATGTGCTATTGAATTTAATTGATAGTATTTTTTACATTTAAACACACAACAAAAGTAAATATTCTTTTGATTTCATAATGCCTTCCATCTCATTCTGATTATATTTATTTTTCCAATAGCTTAGGTAATATATTTATAGGGTGTTATTAACACGTCATGAATCACCAATGTCACCTTTATCTGGAGTCATAAACGCATCTGGTGTCATTAACGTCCTGTTAATTAGGTGCCATAAAAATGTCAGTATCATAAGATTTAATGGATATCATTATTCACGAGCTCTAAGTGTTGTATAACTATTATCAAATTTCCTTGCAACTAAGAATTACTTTACTTTGTGAAGCTAACAATATATTTGCATCTTTGATATATATTTTTCAGGTGTACTGGAAGGAAATATTTCAGTCACAAGCGACGGGAATTCCTCATTTTATGACACGTTACCATATATGCCACTGACCGTGAACTTGACTGGTCAATCGGAAGTTGTTGTATTGTCTGCGGAGCCAATTCAAACCTTATGTACCACGTGGGTGCAGCATCCAACGTCACATGACCAACAAACGTACCGGAATCAGTATTTACCGCTTCCAATGGATTACATGTCCAGCTGTAACGTCGCCGTAGTTCAAAACTGCGTGAACAACACTTGCATTCTTGCCATGAGCGCGAGTACGTCTGGTTTCTTAGATATCAGGCGATCGAGTGAAAAATCAAAAACTACTATCGAGTCCGCTCGGACTGTTGTACTTGAAGACAGAAAGTTCCATATATGGAATATTTGGAATCTGACTGATGACGTATATGTGCTAGAGACACAGGATAACATTCCCCTCATGGTGTTCGTACAGGACTTATCTGTCGGACGTTTCTTTCCACTAGAACCGTCGGCGTGCAACGCATCGGTGGACTCCCAGTCAATCTCAGTCACACCTGGGAACAAAGCTGCTTCGACTGCTGTCACGATAGCGACTCATACTCAAGTCGTAAATTCAACGGGAGAAAACAGTTTCCCCTCATATAGCAATACAACGGCAATCGATTCGACCGGCACCTCCATCACCAGCTCAATCAGCAGTTCATCAGTGACCTCAACCGTTAAGTCAACAACATCTCCTACAACAAAACACGTGGTCGTATCAAAATATTCATTCATGTACGATGACATTTCTGATGATGACAGAATCCTTAATGAGTATATGATAGCCGTTATTGTTTCCTTGGGAACGGCAATATTCGCTGTTGTCGCAGTGCTTTCTACTTTTTTATTGTTAGAAGTTCTCTCCAGGAGAAGACAACTTGGAAACAGTAAAATCAGACCCATGGTATCTTAGACTCTGTCTCCGACACTTTGTGATTGTCTAAGGCAACTTTTTCATGTTATTTCTTGTTTTTGTTGGTATCTACTTATAAATCAAATAAATCTATTTTTACAACTTCAAGTGAATTGTAATTTTGAAAATAAATTTGAGAAGGCAAATAATCAGAAAACTGACATTCATTACCCAAGTCTTCACGCATTTACGTGTTACAGTGCATGTTTAGTACTTCATTCATAGTGTGTGAAAAAATCTATTCAAACGTGAAAAATTCATATTATGTCACCTTTTCGATATCCAGTCTTAACAATATTTTAACTTTCTAATCCCTAATCTACGTGATTTGGTTTGAGTGTGGCACAGATTGTGGAAAAAGTAAGGGACGACATTGGCTAATGAATCTGCTACGATTACAAACTCTATCTGTACAAATTGACAACAGACCGTGATGTCAGCCTTGAAAAGAGACAATGTTATCATTTTTTGAGAACATACCGAGTTGTTAATTGGCTTTGGCAGCAGATCATGCTGTTGAGTTGTCTTGACAGCAGACCGTGTTTTTTTAGTTGTCTTGACAACAGACCGTGTTGTGTATTTATCTTGACAACAGACCGAGTTGTTAAGTTGTCTTGACACAAGACCGTGTTGTTAAATTGCATTGACAACAGACCGAGTTGTTAAGTTGGCTTGACACAAGACCATGTTGTTAAATTGTCTTGACAACAGACCGTGTTGTTAAATTGTCTTGACAACAGACCTTGTTGTTAATTTGTCTTGACAACATACCGTGTTGTTAAATTGTCTTGACAACAGACAGCCTTGTTAAGTTGTCTTGACACAAGACCGTGTTGTTAAGTTGTCTTGACAATAGATCGTGTTGTTAAATTGTCTTGACAAAAGACCTTGTTGTTAATTTGTCTTGACAAAAGACCGTGTTGTTAAGTTGTCTTGACAACAGACCGTGTTGTTAAATTGTCTTGACAACAGACAGCCTTGTTAAGTTGTCTTGACACAAGACCGTGTTGTTAATTTGTTTTGACAACAGACCGTGTTTTTAGTTTGCCTTCATAACAGATTTTACCTGGAATCTGTGACCACAAAAGACTGTTGTGATTGTACCTGAACAAAGGCCTGTATGGAAGATCTATATTGAAGTCACAGCTTCTCTAATTGATTACTTGCGTTTGATACTGATTATCGATCATAAATGAGAGGTCGCTGTAAGTTAGCTGAGTGAATAGTCTCGTTAAGAACTGCTCGAAGGCTATAAACGTGTGTCGTCCGCATGGTTTCATTGGTCACTGTAGAATATGAAGTATATTTGTCTTGAGGACAAAGCATTGTCTGTCACCATCATATTGACATCCGATGGGATCTTTGAGCTCTTTATCTGACTACATAGTATATCAATATGTTATGTGTACAGAGACATCAAACAGCATCGGTTTAATGTTAAACGGTTTGATCTGATTTGATATTCGATAAACTTTGACATGGAAAAGAATTTATTTTTTTAAAACGTATTCTTATGCTATGTTAATCTAGATAATTACACCACATTAAAAATAAACAAAAAGATAAAAGAAAAACAAAGCAAATTTAGGAATATCAATTGAATGTATGTTTACAATTTATTTGCAGATCGTTTTATTTTGTTGGAGAAAATAATCAAAAAAAAAACAAGAATATACCAACATGTCAACATAATTATAATCCAAACTCAAAGTCAATAAAACTATGGCAAAACGTGAACAAAAGAAAAAAATTCAAGGGAGACACCTGAAAAAGTACAAGGAGAATAAAACCAGCTACGCCTGTCTTTTTATGTGTCAACTATGGAATTGAGTCTGAAAACGACTTTTCTACTCTGGACCTCCTTAGTCATGAAGAAAACATGTAGTTTTATCAACCCGAGCATGGATGGGCATGATACTCTATATAACGAAATGATAGGATTGGTCAAACCTTTTATTAAGATACTTCAGATAAATCATCATCAAGTTATCTAAAAATGGACTTGCAGAATGAATGTAAAACCGAGTCAACCAATAAAACGGTATCTTAAAAAGCCTACTGAAAAATATTGCCTCTGAACTCAATACAGACACCTGAAACTTTCAATTCAGTCACGAATCTATCCTGAGTAGATTTCTTTCTGATCTTAATAGTATTTGTCTTCCTTGAAGCGTATCTCGTAACAATACAAGTAAAGTATATGGTCAGTTTGAAGTTTGAAATTTCTGATTGGTATACTGTTCTAATAGAATGTGTGTTAACAGGAGTTGACATCCAAGGTTGACCAGAATACATTGACATTTTACTAATGCATTCCGGGAGTATACAGTGTCATAGTACTGAACGATTTACTGAATGAGCAATAGAACATTGCTGATAAGAGCTTACGAAGTATAGGGTTTAAATATTGATTACGAAGGTCTGTCTTCGTAGAATTAACTGTAATTTTCCCGTTATATTTACTGCCTTCTATCATATCAAATCCATTGAAATCATTCATGGAGTAGTTCCTCTTTAGAACAACAGGAATAAGGTAAGCTATGATTTTGAAAATTGTAGCTGTTTCATTTATTAGTAGGATTAGCAAGAAATGTTGTTTAGGCAGGGATTCCTTTGTTATCGAACAAATCTTATTCCATTTGTAAACAGGAAAAATAAGGATGCTTGCAGGCAAGAGCAACTTATAAGATGTAACACCTGCAGGCAGAATCACAGATTATTCATTATGAAAACGGCCACGTTTTGTGTGCATAACGTGATGAAAGAATTTAGACTTCACCTTTCGATCTCATGCTGCTGGTCAGTATTTATAATGTTGGACTCAATACATTCATTACACCACGAAAGTGAGACAGCATGCCCCTGCGTACCGTACTCCTGAATAAATTAAGTGGGATACTAGTTTTAGTTTTGTCGGACTTTTATGTGTAAAATGTTACTTATATTGATTGAACCCATTCCCTTGTTTGCAAACCTAACTTTCATCAACTATCAAATTGCTGTATTGCAACGCGCCGAACAGAAGACTTAAAAATCTATTTTGTGCCATGTTACCAATCTTCTTACTGTGGAATCTCAAAGCTAGTTTCCAAAGGTCACCAAAAACAGTTTTATCTTAATCACACAGATACAGGAAGTGAATGGGCACATTAATCTCCAAAACGAAAATAAAAATATATCCGGTTTGTTTATGGAAATATCGCAGTCCTTTGCCACCAATACGTCTCCTTTGATAAGTGAATAAAAAATAAAGTAAGTGTCGCTGCGTCGAGGACTCGACAAATTTCTAACGTGGTCATTAAAACTAAATGCCATAACAGTGCCAAGCTGTCTGATACAATGCTACGTACGTTGGTGAGTACTGAGTGCAGTGACCCTGCGGGCTGGATACGAACATTCATCGATAGAATAGACTGATCATGGCGGTCGAAACACAAATATTTCACATAGAACGATGACCATGCATCTTAACTCTTCCTTTGTTTTAGCAGTCAATGTCATTAACATAATAAGAAAAGAATACTATTTCATGCTTCAAAGCTTCGAGTAGAATATCTTGTTTAGTGAAAGGATTGGTGTCTACGAGTCCAAAGGTCTATATTTTTAATCACTTTCGAAGATTTCCACAAAATCAGTGATGTCCCTTCAACTACGCTATGCTCTATTCAACTCGTATTCCAAAAAAATATATCAAGTTTCTGCTGCCTTGTGACACTTTGTATTGACAGGCTCATAATTGAAAGGGGGCACTGAAACAATTACTTTTGATGTATGGATGTTATATATAGATGAAATAGTTATGTATTTCCAGGTCGAGATGGCTTTACTGTACAGCTAATCTTATAGCATATTTAAAAGCTTATCAAAATGTTGTGTTGAGCTTGTCATACACAAAGTAACCACTTTTCATAGTACAAAACGTAGGAAATTCTGAATTCATTGGAACTTATTTGAAAACAGATGGCAATAGCATACCGATAACAATAATATTATGAACTTTCTTTTGTGGCGTATCACTAGTTGAATTCTTGAAAATGATCACATTTTTTTATGTCAAAGTGGTGATAATTACATTCGTTTGTTTAACCCACAATTACACTAATATGTTTATTGTACAATGAATTAGAACACTATAATTAAATCTAAGTGATTATAGTAAATATATATATATATATATATAAAGAAATACCTCATTAATGGAAACGATCATAGACTACTAATTTCATTTCATAAAGAGAATAAATAGTTATATTTTGATTTCATAACCGATAGAAATAATTATAAATTTAAACATCTGATAAAGTCATGCACTTCCTGTTAATTATAATATTTAAAAGTTTACGTAACCATTTTATTAAAAACATTAAAAATAACAATAAAATAGGAACTACCAATAATTAATTTATATCATTATATCGTTGGGAGAGTGTATACCGTGTATTTGCACATGCGCGACGCGGGAAAATTAGAAAAACATAACAAAGCTGCGAGTTACAACAAGGTTCCTTAACGTTACTTGATGAACTTGGCTATCTCCGATCAAAACTGCGAATGGTGGTAAACACAACAACGAGTGTCGACCAGTGTAAGTGTGAAGCTGATAATCTTTATCAATTTTTATAAAAAAAAAAAGTGATATGATTTTGTGAATAAACTAATTTTAAGTATTAGAACACTTATCCGAAATCAAACGCATGGGAAAAATAACGAAATCTAACCATTTAGTCCTCTTGAAATAATTCTTGGAGATTATTCCGGAGTTGCATCTGTCTTAGCAAAAAAGACAAACATTTTAAAAAATCAATGTGAAGAAAAACATTGGCTGAACAGAAAAAGTCGTCAAATATGTTTTTGATTTTTTTTTTTTTTTTTAGGAAACTGATAAAAGATGTTTAAATAAACTTTCAACAATTCAATTTATTATCTTATCCATCAGGGGCCTTTACTAAAAGGTAACAAGGTGTGGAATTAAAAGGAAGGTATTGGATAAATAGAATAGT